TACTTCTCATGTCATAAATCAAAATGCTTTCACATCATTTTGCTTTTGTTCTGCCTGATGCTCTGGTACTTTATTGATGAGATTGACTATTTTAACTTTGTTTTTTTCCTCTCCTTTCCTGGTTTGGGGATTTAAAAAAAATATTATGATGATTTTAGACTTTGCTCCTTCCCTGCTGTTTTTATTTCATTCTTCCCAATACTGTCATTTTTAGCTTTTTCTCCTTTTCTGCCACATTTCCCCCCCCCTTATTTTAATGTCTTTTTTCCTCCTCTTTATCTATACCTACCCTCATTTTTTCTTTTCATTTCATTTTCTTTAACATACCCCTTTATTTTCTCAGCTATAACAGTATTTTCTTCTTTAAGTCCCCTGTCAGTGATTTGSCCAAGGACCTACAGAGTTGACTGCCTTTGAATGTATTAAGAGCTCTCATAAATGAACACAGAATGATTATTTTGGTCACCCAATCAACTTACTACATAGAGATCTCACAGCAGAAACTGAGACAGAAAAATAAAGATGACATGAGGCTGGAAAGAGAATTCCAGTCCTTTACATGGCAAATATTTTGTGAAGTCCTTTCCTTCCTGTTCTAATAAAGCACATGACATTTTTTTCCTTTAATAAATGTTCCTGTTGCCTGTCTTTGCATGTTCTTTATCTCAAAATTGTTTATAATCTTTGTCTTTTTTCAGCTGTTTTCCATTTCTGTTCACTACACTGMCCATAGTACACTTGAAAGAACTTTCATTCTTCTTCCATGAAGGTAACAATGCAAGTCTCTTCACAGGTATGTACTTCCTCATCCGTTTTTATTRCACAGCAAAAAGACATGAATTACTTATCCTGGAGATATGTTTCCAAGATCAGCTTCTTAATCTGCATTTAAACCTCCTAACTTTTCTCTGCATCCAAGTGTCTGGGAATGCAATACTTCACTACAAAGTAATTTCATTTTAATGAGCATACCACTCTGAGTTTACGTTTTCAAAACAAAAACCATTCTAAAAGACTGTATTGAGTGTTTCCTTCATTAAAATCAAAACACTTTGAACTGAAGGAGCATACTCCAAGCCACTTTGATGCCAAGGTAGCAAAGCCAGTTTTAATCCATGCATAGAAGGGATGTGCAGGAGATTAACCAGATGTTTGATAAATCCTCCTCAGAAACTCCGTGATGTGCTAATATGCCTGCCTGTGCCTCTAATCACATAAGTACTGTTGGGTGCATACCAAATAAAACAAAAATCACTCATTTGCACATTGTGGATCTGCACATCCTTAAATTTATACTTATCTGGGTAATACTTGTATGTAAATATTATGGGATTCTCAAACTGTCTTTTGAAAACTGAAGTTCTTCCATACCTAATAAACCTTTTAATTATTCACACCTTAGAATTTCCTTCGGAAAAAAAAATTATACATACGAAAGTTTTAGAAGAAAGTTTGTGACACACAATAGGATTAATCTGGCCAAATTTAGGACATCAAAATTTTTGAYGTTTGTGTTTGAATTACTCATTCTGGCTTCCTCTATGGAATCTGAAAAGAGACACCTGCACTGAGGGATGTCATTTACTTCATCCTGGAGCAGGTGTCTAAAAGGGGCCTTAAAATGGCTATTTGTCACAATTGACTCTAAAGGGGAGCCAAATGTGAAGAGCTCTTTTTTCATTTCAGAAGGGGAATTCCTACATTTAGATATGTAATGGTAGTGGTGGTGGATCCTCCCTTCAGAGCTAGATGTCAGGATATATATTTTTTGTGCTGATACTGTAGTTGTGTTCCAACTATAAGCTGATAGGAGGGGGAAGCTTTCTGCTGCTCTGAATCTTCTCCTTTTGAGCTGGTCTAATCATGCTCTGCCAAGAAAAAGGTGGGCAGGGTGACCCTGAATGTCCTGCTGCAGGTTTTGCTGCTCCATAATGTCTGACAAAGCCCTGTCTTTTGAAAAGTCTACAATTTTACAGGAAACAAATCCCTTGCCCTCCCTTTTTTCCTTTGTTTAAGGCAGTGATGAAACTGGTCAGTTCCAGCCAATACCATTTTGGGCTTTACCTCAGCCCTTGCTTTTTACACCCTGTATATGTAAAAACACAATCATATTCTCTAACTGGCTGGATCTGCTTATCAGGATCTGGTTGAGATTCTGATTTTATTCTATATACAAKTTTCTTTCACGTTCCTATCTTCAATTCAGCACAGCACATCCTTATCTTCAATTCAGTGCAGCCCATCCTCATCAGGTAATGTTGAGAATCACAAAGGCAGATACAAAAGCAGAAACAGTTTCTTTCATTTCTCTCCTGCCTTAATATCTGTGTTTTTTCCCCTTAATACATGGSATTTTTCTGGGTTTGATGAGGTTTACAAACATAACTGTCTGCAGCTTTCTGGACCAAATTATAACCTGCTAAACCTAACATGTTTAGCAAGATAGAAGAGACAAAATATTTACTATCTTATTATACTTTATTACATTTTCTACTATATACTTCGTGGTCTCTTCTGAGCATAAAAAGATACATGGAATAGTCACTGAGATTCAGTGTCTATGTCCCATTTTGGAAGTAAACCTAAAATATGACACAAACACAGTTAAAAAATAACTCCAAAGGAGCAGCACATCAGGAACTATAATTTTATGTAAAATGAAGTAATAATTGTCTCTATTTTTGCAACTTAATGAAGATCAGCCTTTTTTTCTTTTTTCTGGTTTTTTTTTTTTTTTGTTTTTTTTTTTTTTTTTTTTTTTTTTTTTTTTTTTTTTTTTTTTTTTTTCTTGTGAACTTTGCCACTAATGAAGAGAAACAGGCATCACCAGAAATTAATTTAGAGTGCACGGGATGGTGGCATGTATGTCCATCTTCTCAAAGAATGTGAGAATCTTCCTCACACATCTCATCCATATGTCTAATCTTAATTGGACTGRATTTAAGTCTCTAAATCAGACAAAAATTATCTGAAAGGCAGTCTTGTAGATAGGTTGGAGAGGATACTGCTGGAAGGTGACCTTAGCTATTCTGCTTCTGGGATTGCATTAAATTTCAGAACTCCTGTGCACCACCTAAGATCTATTAACTAATATATCTGAACTGACTGGGCAAGTACTTACGCTATCTTTTAGAAATAATTTTGAAATTTTGTTCAATATTTTACATATTCACTTGAACAATGACGAAAACATGGATAATTTTTGATTCATTGCTGATTCCCACACTTCATGTTATATTCATTTTTCAGTTAAATAAAGTCTTGTAAAAACTTATGTTAGTACACACACAATACAAACAGCACAGAAAATATTTTGCTTTCAAAACCTGTTGAAAAGAAACTAAATTCTCTTGAAAAGAAACTAAATTCTGATCTTCTGATCTTCTACCCAAACTCTTCATAAAACTTTGTCTACACAAAACTTCAATTCCATTTAAAAAAAAAAAAGTCCATAAATATCCACCATTTATGAAGTATCAGCTACAGTTGCATCTAAAAATTGAAAAATCAGGCCAGATCTCTGTTCCTCTACACAGACGGGTCCAAACATAGYAGAGTAATAGCTAACGGCTTCAAGTTTGCACATACAGTAGAATTTTTTCCAAGTGTAAGTTCTTTCAGAGAATGAGTGAGTACCATGTTTTTCTTATTCGTCTTTCTTTGTTCCMCAAAATGCCACATTTCACAACATTTGGAAAGCTGGTGAACTGTATTCCCAATTCTTAAGGAGGTCCAAGTAGGAAATTAACTCCAGCTCACTGCTGGCTTTCATAGGTAAAAGCTTAATAAAAATGTCAGTACTCGACACTTAGGTCTTAAGAAATTATTTAGATAGTTTCACTTTGGTAACAATTAAATCCCACAGACAGATTGTAGCAATAACTGAAAGCCTTTTAAAGGCTTTTCAGTTCACTTTTGCAATCTGACTGAAATCTAAGATACTTCACATGAAGCCCACCTGTACCTATTGCACACATCAGTTGTACCAATGCCTGCATGCACATGCAAACAAAACTAAATCAGTAAACAGTGAACTATTGGATAAAAGAATCCAAGATTTACACCAATGAGAGCAGAATCAGACCTATCATATCTGAGATAGATATGATTGTCAGCAATAAAATGGCAAATATTTCCAACTGCATGTGCTTGCAGGTAGGGCCAATGATTAGCACTTGTATCTTGCAGGAACAGTTTTTCTTCTCATAGCAACACAGAATTTTCCAGTGGACTTTACCTGGTAGGTCACGAAATCCTCTGCAGTCGTGTGGAATGTTAAATCTCCAGAACTATATTTTTTCATACAGACTGGCTCTGAAACTTTAGTCTTGTTTTCTAGGTATAAACACTTCTGATAATAAGAGAAATATGAACAGCAGTGTATGATCCCAAACAATAATTTATACCAAATTAAAACATTAGCTTCACCCCTTAGACACAAGACACAATTTATTGTCTTATCATAAAATTAGAACAACAGAGCATGCAATTTGTTTATGCACCACTGACCTCTAAAGAGCTCATGGATATTGTGGATCCAGTTTCACTTCTTGATAATCCTGCATTGTCATCCAGCTCTGAGGCAATGAAATTCTTCACTGCTGTGCGGGGCTCAAATGGCAAATTCTGCATATGTTCTTGGGGGGGAAGATGCTGGTCTAAATTGATATTAAATTGGTCCATTACAGAGGGATTCATATTGAACTCTGGATTAACTTTGTAGTGCAAGAGCCTTTCATGAGGCAAGGTATCCATGCCTATATTCATTTTGCTTTCATCTTTCAGTGATGGCTGGGTATTTACTGAGCCCCGGGGCATGACTATATAGTCGCTTTCTATCATCCGTTCTTGGGGATGGACTATGTCCATGTCTGCACCTCTCAAATTATCATCAGTGCATAAATACACAGTCCTCCGCAGCTCACTGTTGTCTTTTTTCAAGCACTGGTTGGCCAGTTCACTCATACTCATCGGCATGTGGAGGCCCGTTGGTTGCTGGATGATGACTTTGGAGATGATGTTGCCAGGCAAGGTTGAATAGCTCATTCCTTCAGGGTTAGGTCCCTTTTCCTCCTCTTCATCATTCAGTGAAATTCTAGAAAGTGTCCCTGTTATAGTGGCTGCTCTGCAAGGTCCAATGTCTTTATGCAGAACTGTGGGTCAGAGAACAGGATTCTTACAGCATGAAACCATGTCAATCTAACGCTGTTTTCTTGTGGTTGTATCTAGCAGCAATTCCTTTACCACTTCATCTCCTTAAATCTCTTTCTTTCCACTTATTAGCTTTCATTTTATAAATATTGGTTTTGGAACAGCTTTTGTGTGGTTTTGGGTTTTTTGTTCTCTTAATCTGTTGTGTATAACTGATCTCTGGCTAGCTTCAGTCATTTACATAAATTAAAAACACTTCTTTGTTTATTCCTACTGACTTACATAGATTTTAGGTGACTTACAGCTTAAGCAAAAGCCTGCCATGTGGAACTCATTAAGGGTTTTAAAAAAAAAATTACGCTATGACATCTGTACTGCCGTTATTAACTCCACATAACCTCCTGGAAAATGTCAAACAGATTGTGAGGCAGAATCATTTTGTCAATCCATTGTAATGACCTACCATAAGATTATAACTATGAGCATGTGTTCCTAAGCTCCTAAATGTTCATTTTCACTGACTTTTTAAAATTCTTCTCTTTTAAATTATGTTTTAAATAAAAGTGACAAAAAACATTACCACATTGGGAAAAAAAAATCCATTGGTATTAGAAAGAATATTTTGCTGCATCTGGAAAGGTTATAAAGAATAGAAATATTTTTTGTAGAATAGTSATAATCCACTTTTGTTCTAGGTCTAGACCTTCCTGGTCAAACTTGTAGCAACATCCAGCAATTTTTGTCGGGATGAGTTCCACATGTAAAAGTTACTAATTTTATGATTCAAAATTTCCAGAAGCACTGAAGGATGGCTTCAAAAGTAAAGCATTAATTCAATCCCAATTATTCATCTTTAAAAAAAAAAAAAAAAAAAAAAAAAAAAGGAGGTCTATAATTCAACATTTGTAATAATTAAAAAAATAGGATAGAAAGAAAAAAAAAATCAATTACTGGGCTTATTTCAGCTGGGTGCAAGGATTTTCTGGTCCTGGTTGAAAATATTTTAATTCACACCAATGCTGTTTTATGCAATAAATTCCAGCTCATGGGCTGATACAGAAAGACAACTTGAAGTATCTCAGGTATCACATTTACATCTCTCCTGGTTGCCCAAGGGCTCTGATGACCCAGATCCCCCAGTACCTGACTGTCAGTTCACTGCCTTTTTCCATAGCAAGCAGCTCATAGAACACGACTCTCCTTCCTCATGCAAAACTAACCCTCATTTTTCCAACATGGGAAGAACAATTTGCTTCTAAACAACAGTGCACAAACACCTGAATTCAGTGCCTGATTCATTGTYTCCAGTGACACTTATTCAGACATTTCTAATCGTGATCTATCTAAATTYTTCATTATCAGAAAGTAAGTTCAAATGCTTATCTAGTAAAGCCTGTTTAGAAATGCATTCAAAGTCAATCATCTCCTTTAGGATGCCTCTGAAAGGCCTTCTGTACTGCAGAGCTGTGTTATCCAAGGTAAGAAGTGGAACTATGTGGATCAGTGCTGGATTTTTGTCTGCATTGGATGGTGACAGATGTGTTTGTGTTACTATCCTGCTCCCTTCAAAATACGTTCAGGAAAGCACAAATTCTCTATTGCAAGAAACTCAACTGCAGTTTTTTAAAGGTGAGTGACTGGAAACTGAAACTTCACCTTAATGAGATCAGCTTTCTTGGCTCCTCATGTAGCCAGTGAAGAGAGAGAGTGTCCTTCAGGTGGGTGATGCAGAACAGCTAAATCAGGCTTCTGTTCTGACTCACCCTGTGCAGAGGACACACTCTCTCTTTCCCTTTATTGAAAACTGAGGGTGTTTAGGCAGGACTGTTTCCCTAGGAAAAACTGTCCTTTGGAAATATCTCCTAGATTAAAAAAAATCTGTAGAGTTTAAATGGTCATTTATTTTACACGGCATTGTATTCAAGCAAGGTTRGGAATATAATGGCTGAATATTAAATATATTTAATATATGGAAACATACATAGCCAACTCATTAAAGATCACACTACTGAAATATCTTTAAAAAATCTGCTACTTTTCTCAGTAAAGTGAAATAAAACTAACAATAATTTCCTTAAACTATATGTTGATTTAACTTAGAATTCTAAAAACATGCCCTCTTTAAAATGAATGCAAACTGATGCAACTTTCATACACACAGGCGTCAAGATAATTTATTTTTGTTTTAAAGCAAAATTAGGGTTCTCACATTTGCTTGTGTACTGGGGAAGGAAAGTTTCATGTGTTGAAAGAATGATCTTTCAACAACTATTTGCTTTCTAATAGACAGTCACACCTTCAACTACTTTCCAACTGCTGAATTCTAGTTAAAGCCTTTTGTAAGAAAATTAAATAAATATATTCACACAGTGACATAATTTTTCACTTTTTCTATTTTTTAAATTAACAAATATTTCCTATAAACAGCTAAACCCCAATATTTTTCTGGTTTTCATTTCACAAGAAAMTCATACAAGACTTCTTTTCGTCAGCTAAATACTCTCAGCGCTCTTACCTGACCGACAAGCAATGTCCACATCCTTCTCAAAATCAGTCTGTAACAAGAAACAGTGAAACAGAACAGCCATTATTAATTAAAAAATAAACCACAATACCTTTTTGCCAACTAGCACTTCCAAAATGTCCTACTTACAGGGTCATAGTCTCCTAAAAGTGGTTTCTTGTTGCTGAGAAGGTGAAGTGTATTGTTTTACAACAGCAGAGCTTTACAAAGTTTCCTAAAGTATAACTGGGTGGTTTTCAAAGTATGCTGCCTGACCAGAAAAAATAAAATAAAATAGGTGGGAGTATATAATTTTAATAAAATGATACAGTGTATAGTTTTTATTGTATATGGAAGAATAACTCCTACAGCTCCTCAAATCATCCTCTTTAAGGAAGTTTTTCATAGTAATTTTATGAAAAGAAGTATGAAAAATAGCCTGCAATACAAATTACTGCGAATAAGTGTAATCCAAATAGTCCATCCTCATTGAAATTTCAGTAATTTGTTCTGAAGTGCTTATTTGTTATAAAACATTGCCATTTCTTGTTACTAATGTAATCATATAAAATTTTTGTACTCCCTGAAAACAACTTTTATTTATTTCATTGTGCAAAAATTAGTTGTGAGAAGAAAGATTTTTAAGTTGGAAATCAAAGCACATTTTTCCTAGTTAGACAAAACTATTTATTCTGTTAGAGAATTTAGTTGCTTTTTATTTTTACTTTAAAAAGAAGTTTATTCCATACCAAATGTTCAATAAAACTAATCTCTTTCTTGCTTGTAAAGTCCAAACATTAAATTATTTTTTTGAGTCATCATTTTGAAGGGCATCTGCTTGCTGTACCTTGCATTTTTGCTGAGCCTTGCATGTCTTCAGGGCCTGATTCTGTCCCCGTTATAGTCAATGGCAAACTGTCACTCAAAGTGAAGGGACCARTACTTTGTCTTAATACAGTACCCAACAGTATTAGGAAAATTCACTATCTCTTAATTTAACACACTAAATTTAACACACTGCTAGAATCTCTAGCACTTTCTCCTTGTTTTGTTGGAAAATATTTTTCAAGGCCTCATGAAGCAAAATACATCAGTACTCTTTGCACCAACACTAGAAAAAGTCACAATATATTATTAGAATATTCTAAATTTTCTTATGTAAGAATCTTTTGTCCTGAAGAACACTGGTGGAAGATACTAATTCATTGTGCTCCACTAAATGATCACACCAATAATTAAAACTATTAAAACTAAGCTATTTAAGTGAGCAGAAAATGACCTAAACAGACTCTTTCTTAGGTGTTAGTATTTCAGCTATGCAAACTTGCCACATGCAGTACAGTAAGCTTTTTCTTTTTGTTAGGAACATTAAATTCATAGTCAAAGAACAAAAGAAAAGCTAACCATGATTTGAGCATGTCCATTAGGAAAAGAACTTGAAGAATCTGCATTGATCGGGTCCTGGCAATTTCTTAGCCGACATCTGAATGCATCCTGAACCTGTGAAAAAAAAAAATCTTATACTGATGCTTCTGTAACATCATGTACTCCTGTTAGAGATTAAATTAAACCACACGGAATACAATGCATGACTTTTCTTTAGCCCGTGTAATAAATCAGAAGCAATAAACATAAATCCCTATTTCTGCCATTTCGCACATTCATTATACTTTGTGTCTGCCACAAATTTTGTCAATCTATTATATCCAGACCACAGAATTAGATTTATGTATGCCAGAATTAGCTACTAGACAGTGATTATATGGTATTTAAGCCAAATCTGTCTAGGTGCTACTATTTGGTTTTGTTTTCTCATTCCCTTTGGTACAGGTCAGATAAGAGGTTTAACAGATATAGTCCTAACCTTTGCAAGATAAAGTGTATCTTCTTCTTGACAAATGTATGGTTCTTGAAAGACAGTTCTTTACAGCTATTGTAATCAGACAGTTATTGTAATCAGTTCATAACAGTTATTGTAATCTCCTAATTGTACATTAAAAAATAAGTCTATTTGAAAGGTATTACTGATTCCAACAATAATCTTTAATTCCACATACAGGGAATCTAATGCATCTCTTGTAGGAGTAAAACTCTTCAGCTCAGAGAAATATCTTCAATGTGAGCACAAGAAGAAATGTGGACTGCCTGCACAGAGACAGTTTTCTTGAAAGCACAAAAGGATATTATCAGAAATTACTGTTCATTAATATGATCCGTAAAGTAAACTTGAAAACTTGTCCCTAAAGAAGAGTATATTTGAGGAATCATTTTTCATAGGGAATGCTATTTTTAATTTCATTTTGGACAGAGGATATGTCTAAAGAAATACTATTATTCAGCACTTAGAAATATGTGCTTCAACAGAGAGGCACATTCAAAAGGAAAATGCAGTTCCTGTTTGCTGACAGCAGAATGCAAACATATTTTGCTGCTTTCTCAYACATACAATAAGGATGGCAAGGTATTTTTTGGAATATAATGTTATACAATGTGAATTTTAATTCCAGAAATGCAAGTGTCTCTATTAAACAGATARTCATATTCCTGATTGCGAGATGTGACTTGGAAAACAGGAATTTGGTTGGGTGATACAATTTCTTGTTCAAATATAAAAGTACTTTGAATGACATGCCCATAAAAAACTACATTCCATTTATTATCTGTAAAAATTACTTGAAGTCTTATTCAGAATAATTAAAAGGGAGAAAATTGTCTTCTACTCATGGACATTT